GCAGATGGGATCAGTGCAGGGTACATGCCAATGAGATTATCTCCAAACCACAGCAAAGACCTTTCTGTATTTGTCTGTAAGGGTGCACTAATGATGTGTGAAAAGGTAATCAAGCCAGCAGTTACAATATACTATTCCAAAGTTTCTTTGCAATATCTTTTTGACAAATTACAGATTTCTCTGAGCAGACACTACATGTATAAGTATTTGATCATATTAAATGGATTAATTCCACCATTGTCCTCCAAACAATAACCAAGTTTGTTTGTTTGTTTGTTTGCCATCAGTTAACAGATTTCTCTCTATTCACTTTAGCTTTTAAAAAACACAAACACTCAGGCGTATATAATGATTTATACCACCAAAGGGCACATTCTGCAAGTCTGCCTCCTGGCCGCTATCTCTTAGTCCCTTTCATCCTATGAATCTAGAGTCCTCAGCTGCTGCCTCTCTCCAGGTCCCCATTTCTGTCTCCATCTCTGCCTCCATCGCTGCTTCTCTGGATAAGGTTTCGCATTCTGCTTGTGCTCTTCTCCCTTTATAGTCCTAGGGTCCTTTATTTCTGGCATGTGAGATTAGCCACTCCCCCGTTTTTGTTACAAAACTTCTACCTTTACAATTGTGACAGTCACAATTAGTCATGATAACAATTAGTGGTGGTTATGTGCCGTGGAATCGGTTCCGACTCATAGCGACCCTGTACAGGGTTTCCAAGGCTGTAAATCTTTACGGAAGCAGAAAACCTTATCTTCCTCTTGCAGAACAGCTGGTAGTTTTGAACTGCTGACCCTGAGGTTAACAGCCCGATTCGACCACTACGTTACCAGAGTTCCTTACAATAACAATTACTGTTAAATCATAAGAATCTTATCACCATCTTTTTTAAGCAGACCCATCTAGACAAGATGAAAACTATTCAGTGGGGACTATTTCTTTCCCCACCCCATACTCAAATTATACTCTCTTTTGAAACCTTGTAAGCCAGTCATTTCATGCCTTTATCGCCCCCTCATTTTAGGTAGCCAGTGTCTAAGTTGCCCATCCCTATCTATCCTGTGTACAGAGGGGATTGCATTGATACTTGATGTGAAGACTCCTTCCCTCTCTGTTGGTATTTAGAGTTACTACCGCCATGAGTATAAGTCAGGTTCATCAAATTGTAGCAATTTACCCTTGTTTCCTTTAGCAAAAATTGTTTTTTTTCTCTCTCTCTCTATATATATATACATATATATATACACACACACACATCTATCTATCTATCTATCTATCTATCTATCTATCTATCTATCTATCTATCTATCTATCTATCTATCTATCTTCCTCTCGTCGAGTTCTGATTATCAAGCCATCGAGGCTAGGTCAAATGAAAATAACCAAGATTTTTAAGGTAAATATCCTTACCCTCTTTCTTCTCACTTTCATATCTACATATTCCATTCCCCAATAACAAATGTTATTCAAAATGACTATTTCTACAATAATTTTTCTGTTATCACATGATACATTGTGGCATAGGGCATTTAATATGCAAATTGCTAACATAACAATATTATTTTCCCTCCTGTTGCTCTTTAATTTGGCATTGAGCAGCTGAGGTTTGAGATTTTAATCAAAGAGCATTGAATGAAGTGATTTATAAAATCAAATGAGGGTCTGGTGCTGTTTCTCCCCCAATTATTTCATTCACTGTTTGTACTTAGCTCTGGTAGCATAGTGGTTATGAATCGGGCTGCGAACCACAAGGTCAGCAGTTTGAAACTACCAGCTGTTCCGCGGGAGAAAGATGAGGCTTTCTGCTCCTGTAAAGATTTACAGCCTTGGAAACCCTGTACAGGGTCGCTATGAGTCAGAACCGACTCCACAGTATATAACAACATCATCATAAAACAGTCCTAGAGATGCGTGGACTAATTGTCTCTCCTACAGCTTGACCTGTCTAAAGGCAGGCTTATTTCTGATAGGTACAGTGTGTAACCCGGGGCAAGTTAGCTATCTCTTGAAGTTTCATTTTCATCATCTGTACAATACATATACTAAGACTTCCTTCGTATGGTCAGTGAGAGGCTTAAACGAGATAATCCATGGCAAGCATTAGCAAAGCGCCTTACACGTAACAAGTGTTCAGCTCTTATTAAGATGATGAATTTGAGAGCTCATACAGAATCATGACTGTTGCTATATATTTTAAAGCAGAACTATTTATTCTAAGAACAATAGTAACCATTATGCTTAGTCAAAACAACCGGAGGAGAAACTTACAGAAGTGTCATTCTCCACTCAACACAGGGACCCACAAAGCTGAGGGAGCTGGCTCCCTATTCGGTGCAAGCTTGGTGCAGCCAACTGGTAAAGACAGCAGCTGCAGTTACTGTAGGCATGTGTGTGTGGTGGGCGAGGGAGGGGGGAAGCAGCAAGCAGTTTGGCCTCATGTTGAGGCTGTGTTAGAGGTTACTAGAAAGAAGGCAGAGACTGTCGATAAAACAGGCAGCTGATCAGATTTGTTCTGATGATTTAGTAAGAAACAGTGATAGATCAAGCCAGAAGAAGAAAACTGAGGCTCAACAACCCAGAAGGTATCAAATAGGAGTCAGAGTCAGGTGGAGAACTCCTTAGAGATGCGTTACTGATCACATTTGAAGGTTTTTAATGCCAAGTTTGCAAATGGGTCACTAAGTCTTCCTATCTGGGGCTTCTAAGAGTATGTATGAACCAGTGGATCTTGAAGATAAGTTGGGGCTACAGTCTCCTTCTTTAATCTGATGGGTTTTGATCCATGGAAGATGTAAGGATGAGTCTTCCTGAAATGCCCAGGCAAAACGATGGCCAGGCAAGATGAAAGGGCTATTCCAGCTCCAAAGAGCAAGACAAAGTTTTTGAAGATTTTACGTACCTGTCAAGCGGGGGACTTGAAAGCTTTCCAACATCTTAAATGTTTATGCTTTATTTTGTATATTTAGAATCCCCTCACTCATCATTAATACCCAAATCATTATATCATATAATCAATAACCTCTATTAGAATTCTTAGTAGGTTCTTCTTGCTTTCTGACAGTTCATCCCAATAACGTTCTTTGTTGTGCATCTCACGTTTCATCAGCTATTGGGAGTGAGCCAAACATCACTGGTGGGGTTGTCCCTGTCCCACAGGATAAAGGCTGATGATTGTGCGGGATGCCATTCCCAATTCAGTCTGACAGTTTTGTGGGTAAACAAATTGCTAGGGACATTTGAAAGGGGAAACCTCGTCTACTAACAGGATCAGGGAATCTGGAGCCTAGCCTAAATCACACAAGGTGAAACTGTTACAGAAGTTGTGCCAAGATTTAATAAATGTGATGAACCAGGAAGGAGGAAGAATTTATGCACAAAACAAGAGGGATGCTAGAGTCAAACTGGCACAGTGTGTAAATGACATCAAAGATAGATTCTCCTAGAACTTCCATGAAGCCAGAATGTCGAGTACCTCAAAGAAACACTGGAATCATTAGGTACTGCTGGACTCAACAGCCATAAATATTGTCCTGAATAAGGCACCAAGGCAGCAAATTCAAACTGTTAACTCACAGGAAGAATAATTTCTGATATTCAATTTCCATCATTCAAATGGAATCTTAAGCCATTTAATTTTCACCTTCTATTGACATTCATGGTTAAGAACTTCTAGGCACTTGATTTTCACATTATTTTCTACTCACAAATCACAAATGCACTTTGTCCAAACTTTTCCCAGTATGGTTCACGAGCGCCCTCTTGTGATTACACCAGTTAACAAGAAGTCATTCCACCAAATCATAGTAATTTAAAGGACAAATTCTCTGAGTATTTAATTTCTGATGTCAGCTAAAAATACATCTTCTGACACTATTATTTGCAGAGCTACAAAGTCCACTTACTGCTCTCTCTTCAGAATCCATAACTAAATAAAACTGTTTATTAAAGAATATGCAACACAATTATCTGTAAATCTTACATATAAGGTGACGTTTGCTTGGTCCCAGTGCGAATACATTATTTGAATGTTGAGAAGTTTTTGAATAACATAAAACACACGATAACAAAGTAAAGTAAACAAGGTAAAGGAAAATTTATATTTGAAAATAATAGATTTATAATACTTACTTCACTTCTCTTCCTAACGTCGCTTCAGCACACAAGTGACAAAATTCCTAAATGATCACAATCCCTACGTCCACAAAACTCCACTTTACAGTTGCCCGATCCTTTCTTTCTCCGTACGTTTTTTATTTTATAAAATAAAGACTTTCATCAGAGTCTTTCATTCCTTTACCCTGTATCCCAAGCTTCGTAAACTAGTGATCCATGGACCAAACATGGCAGACATGCTTTGTCTAATTTTTAAACATTTTGTTCTGGTTGCCAAGATTTACAGTCTGAATTTTGGGCATCTTCTGGAGAAAGAAAATCTCATTTGGCAATAACTACCCTGCATCTCAACAAGGGCCTAATGGGGTTGCCTCTTTAGAGAGGTTTGTATTCTTCATTAAGTCACTATCACAACCTAGTCCATGTTGTCACGTGGATTACCTATCTGGCCCCACAGCCTTCAGATTTGCACCCCCTGAGTGTGTGAACCCTTCCAATTATTTCTGTGAAAGGGCTCAAGGTCTCACATAGATTATCCTTACTGTCTAGCATCACAAAATGCTACCCAGAAGTACATGAAAGAATAAAAATCTATCATTAAAAACAAAGAAAATGCTCTGTAATAGAGGAATGAAACTACACGAATGATAGCTTAGGCTGATTTCAGGCGCAGTCAATTCCCTCCAGTTGAACTTAATACAGTTCACTTTGCATTTCTGAATGGTGTCTTTGTTTTGAGATGACAAAACTCCTACTAAGGGTTCACATCTATTATATAAGCAGCGTAGACTCTCCCTATCACAAACCATCTGCTCACAACCTAAGAATTCGCTTTCTCAGAACCAGAGCTCTGGTTCTCACCAGTTGAATGGCAAAGGAAAGGTGACACTCACAGGTGTGCTGCTGTTAGAGAAGGTGTTCATGCTGACCGAGCTGCTCAGCTTGTCTGAGGACATCGATGGTGGGGATGGGCTCCGCTTCTCCAGGGGATCCTGCCGCTGCAGGTACTCCCTCCAGGCTCGCTGGATGCTGCACAAAAAAACAAACAAATGAAAAACAAAAACAAAAAAACCAGCATACACACGGTCAGTCCTAGGGAATAGCTCACAGGCTCAGAGAAGCACAAGGAATCTGAAAGAATCAGCTTTGGAGGCAAGGAAAGCACACAGCGTAGGTGACACAGATCACCGGAAGACCTAAACTCCAAATCCATTTCAGCCCCTGAGACTATCTCTCTATTCTACTGATCAGACTTTCACAGCCTTGACTCAGACTAAAAGAGTCAAGTTAGTCAGAAAAAGTCATCAGTCAAAGTCAAACTCATTTGCACATGTAAATACACTTTGATTTATGAGACATACAAATCTTTCTGTTTCTCATCCTGTATTTTAAATGAGAATAATAAATTGGCTGACTTGTCATTTATTCATTGATTCGCTATATGGTTGATGAAGGACTACTCTATGCCAGGGTCAGTCCAGGCTCTGGACAGGGAGTCTGCAGTGCATGGCTACAGGAGGTTTGCATTTGCACAGACCTCAAGGTGAAGGCTACCCATGATGTTGTGCAGTGCATTGTCTGCATGGTCAAATGAGGTGGCCCTCTTCTGAGAAGGATGCGACAGGCAAGAGTCCAGCAATCATGGATTTTATATACAGTGGAAGGAAGCAGGTAACATATGTATAATAACTAACAAAATCAATGTTAAGTACCGTGGAGTCAGTTCTAACCAATATCGACCCTGTATAGGGTTTCCAAGGAGCACCTAGTGGGTTTGACCCACCAACTTTCCAGTTAATAGTATACTGCTTATCCTGGAGCACCACAGCAAAACTCAACAAAATAAATAGAGAAGACAAAGTATTGAGCTAAACACTATTTAGAGAAGTAACATGTGATTTGGTGATGACTTGAAATGTCACCCAAGGAAGCTCTTTATTTCCTGAGATTTGTATCAGAAATAGTCATCTTCTTCTTGGGATAATGAAAAAAACTTCTTTGTGAAAACTAAGTGATTTTATCTATGGACTGGCTGTTAATCTTATCTTGGAGATTAACACCCAAGATCCTCCACCCACCTCCACCTCCTATAGTCAGTGAACTCTGCCAGACCTACAGAACAATTGTTAGGACCCAGCCTTTTAAAGAGTTTAAAATAGTTGCACTGATTCTATCACTAGTGCAAACCCACCAACTACTCCTTGAAACCCTATACAGGGTCCCTATGAGTCAGAACTGACTGGACAGCGCTTTACAACAATGATAATCTCCTCTGGACTCCCACAAACTTCCAATATTCTGTAATTCTTCCACATACAGGCATGAAAGTTGTTTCTGCATGAGCAAACTGATTGGCTAAAATTATATGAGACCATTCATTTTCAATAGCCTGGTGTGGCACTGTGGGTTAATACACTGGACTACAAGGTCGGTTTGAACCTCAAGGTCAGTAGTTCAAGCTCACCAGCAGCTCCTTGGAAACCCTATACAGAGTTGCTATGAGTCAGAATCAACTCGATGGCACTTAACAACAACAACAAACACCAGGACATATAAAGAACACAAAATGTTACCACATTAATTAATCCATACGTTTTCCTAATTTATTTAAACTGAATTATAACGCTCATGGAAAAGTTCAAAAGCTGCAATGTCAAATGCAGATTTACCAGGAAACTCCTGGTGTGGCACTGTAGGATCAGCACAGGTTGGTAGTTCAAAACCATCAGCTGCTCCCCAGAAACCTTATACAGGGTTGCTAAGAGTTGGGACTGACTCGCCAGCACTTAACAACAATGCAACTGAAATTTGAGGGGCCCTTTCTCTGAGGTCAGGAACCTCTCCTAAGACCTTGCAAGGGGCTTTTCATAGTTTATGTAAAATTTGGACAGTAAGATCTCTTTTAGATTTTATTTTTAAAGAGGATCCTCCAAATTATATACACTCCAAGTCTCACAAAAACAGAGTCTGGTTGGCCACTGTTTAATACCTAATGCTTGCTCAAATTTTTCTTTCGTGTGTGTGTTGGGGGTGGATTTTAAAATGTTGAACAGAATCTCAAAGGAAATCCTGAGCTTGGTAATCACTGCTGCTGCTTCTTGGACTATTTTATTAGACAGTAGTGAACTGTTGGGAGTCCTGGTGTGGCACTGAAGGATAAGTACTGGACTTTAAAGTCGATTTGAACCACAAGGTCGGAGGTTCAGACTCACCAGAAACCCTGTGTTCGGTCACTATAAGTCCGAACCGACTCGACAGCACTTAACAACAACAACAACAATGAACTTTTGGGAACAAATTTCCACTATGTCTGGGTATGTAGGGCTTCCCAAAACCCTACTGAAAAGTTCTGCTCTTGAGGGCATTAAGTCTATGTTGTTGTTGTTAAGTACCGTGGAGTAGATTCTGACTCATAGCGACCCTGCACAGGGTTTCCCAGGCTGTAAATCTTTACGGGAGCAGAAAGCCTCATCTTTCTCCCGCGGAACAGCTGGTAGTTTCGAAATGCTGACCTTAAGGTTAACAACCTGTCTCTGGTAGCGTAGTGGATACAAGTGGGGCTGCCGACCTCAAGGTCAGCAGTTCAAAATTACCAGCTGTTCCGTGGGAGAAAGATGAGGCGTTCTGGTCCTGTAAAGATTTACAGCCTCGGAAACTCTGTGCCCCGGTAACCCTGTGCAAGGTCACTATGAGTCAGAACCGACTCCACGGTACTTAACAACAACAACAACAAAATGCTACCAGAGTTCCTTATTAAGTTTATAAAGCCAAAAAAAAAAAAAAAAGTGTGATGTCTTAAAGAAAAATTTTAAAGTAGGAAATATTGAAAGTTCATAGTTTATACAAATTTGAGGTACTTTATACCATCTTCTTTTTTCATTTCTTTCTTTTTAAATCACTTTAATTTTTCAGGAAATATGGAAAGAAAATTTAGTGGCCATTAGATGAATTACATTTGAGCTTGTTGAACACTAGGGGGCAGTGTGACACCTTCAAAGACCCAAACAAAGTTAGGCAAAACCCAGGGGTCAGAGGTTTGCAAAGCATGGTTCTTCCTCTTCGTTCTGTGAACAAATCAGTATACCTTAAACCAGTGTACGGTAAAGAAGTGTACTTTAACACTTTATTTCCTTCCAAGAAGACAAGAGACTATGACAATGTTATATGACTTCAAGATGAAAATTACCTTCTTAGCCCACTTACATTCTGATTATATGAACTATTTAAAACTTTTATTTATCCACATTTGTCTGCATAGATATCATCAATTTAACTTAGTTGAAAGCATATTGCATTATGTCTTACTCCTTTTTAAACTTAATATTGTATATTATCATTTCAGTGTTTCCCATATTGATAATTACTATTTTAAGGACTGCTCAGTCCTCCTGTGGTGCTGGCAGGGTACTACATTGAACAACAACAACAACAACAGTTGGGACAGTCTTTAAACCAGAGTCAGGGTTGTAACTCACAGGCTAGTCATATCTCACAAGGCTATTGCCCTAAGTTGCTGCCTTGCATTTTGAAATGATTGTTGTTTAAATGACCCTGTATAGGGTTTCCAAGGAGCGGCTACTTGATTTGAACTGCCTACTCTGGTAGCGTAGTGGTTACGAATTGGGCTGTGAATCTCAAGATCAGCAGTTCGAAACCACCAGCCGCTCCGCGGGAGAAAGATGAGGTTTTCTGCTCCCGTAAAGATTTACAACCTCGGAAACCTATACAGGGTTGCTATGGGTCGGAACCGACTCAACAGCACTTAACAACAACAACAACCTTGCAGTTAGCAGTCCAACTACTGGAGCCCCGCTTTTATTGCTTGTTGTGTCAAAGAGAGGTTTCACACACTGTTTACTCACCGTTGACCACACTGACAATGTAGTCATGGAAGATTCCAGTATTCTCATAATAAGCTCTCTGAATATCATCTCCAAAGATGATTAGACATCCAAAGATAAGACATTAAAGCAAAATGTAGAAGCACCTTTATCCTGTGTTCATGAGGAATTTACTCACTTCCTATCCAGAAGGGAGATGAGACATTTCAGGAGAGCAGTTTGTAGTGTCAGAGCCTTCACAACTCTCCCACTCTGGGGGAAGATAGGTGTTCAGTTGAGTTCCCACCAACAGAAGTCAGAAGATGCTAAGAGAAGGCCTGTGAAGTTTGAGGGTGACCTTGACACCTGGGACTTGAGACCGTCTCTCATACCCAATGCTCTAAGGTCTAAAAAATCCTCTTGGGGGCGTATCTTAAAATCCTCCCTGTTGACGATGCCAAGGTCGACCAAGGGAGGCACGGCTGGGTGGGTGGCAGCTCACAGTCTCATCAGACCAGAGCAAAGGGGACAAGGCCAATTGGGTGCAGCTCAGTCTAGACTGGTAGTAGGGGACTCAAGGGAGACCTAATGACCCCTTCCGCCAGAGTTCCAACCCTCTGAACTATTTTAAACAGCTGTCTGGGAGCACAAGTGTTCACCATCAAGAGGAAACTTAAGGCAACCTTGGGTTTTAGCACCTGGAAGGGGCAGCGACACCAACTGAGGAGGAGAGCAGGAAGAAAGAGAACATTTGTGTGTGTGTGTGTGTACGCGTGTGTGTGTGTGTGTGTGCAGTTGGTTCAGATTCCTAGTGACCCTGTACAGGGTTTCCAAGGAGTGCCTGGGGTTTGAACTGCCAACCTTGTTGTTAGCAAAGGGCTAATGTGTGTGTGGGGGGGGAGGGGCATAGGGCTGGTGTGCTGGGATGGGTTGTGTGTGTAGGCAGAGTACCCAACTGTTCATAAGAGCTAAAGATTTAATAACCAGATTCAACAAAGTCACTGAACTGGACTAAATTTTCAAAGGAATTCAAATTCCATTCTTGGGTAAGATTAAGCTTTCTCTTCATTCACCACCAGTGAATAGAAAAGAGGTTCAGAGTTGTTAGAAAGGAAAAAACCATTCTGTTTGCACCTCATCAAACTAGTTAACATAAAATTTGTAAGATTCCTTATCTCTGAGCTGGCCTGAATCTCAGGTGTGGAGAATATCTGCCTATTCCTCCTTCTGGCAGTGACAGGAAAAAAACAAAAACCTTTAGAGAGGTTTCCCAGTTTCCTGATTCCATGTCAGCATTCAAATCAAACACTCTAAAATTTCACACAACAACTTTACCTCGCAGGGCTTTGTCATTCACTAGAACCAGATCTTAGTGAGAAAATGCCTAAGGATAAAGCAACCTGTGTTTGCAAACTAAAGTCTTGCGTAGTGAATGGACACAGTGCTTGCTACTTGGACCAGTTTCTTAGCCTGACTCTTGATTGATTTGGTATTGTGACACAGAGCTTCCTAAGGGGCACCAAATGTATTCTGATGCCATGTTAGACTTTATCTTTCTGCCTGATCCAAAGAGATTTGTATTCAGTGCTGAAGGATCAGCACTGAACTGCGAACCACAGGCTCAGCAGTTCAAATCCACTAGCTGCTCAGGGCTGCTACGAGTCGGAATGGAGTCTATGGCACATAACAACAGTCAGCTCTGGACTGTGAACGACAAGGTGGCTGTTCAAACTGACCAGCGACTCCTCGGAAACCCTATAGGGCGTCACTATGAGTACAGCGTCGCTATGAGTTCAGGGTAGTTATGAATGGGAACTGACTCTATGACACTTAACAACAGCAACAACATTTTGCCTAAAGGGGAAACCGCAGAAGTGGTGGAGATGGCAATCAAGTAATTCCCCACACTGTCCAGTAGATGGTGCTGTCTGGCAAAGCAGCTGCCTTACTGCCTAGAACATGGAGGAAATAATATCCAACACAGTGTGAAACAGATGTACAAGTCCTGCATTCACAAATCGCAGAGAAGTTCAGAGTTTAAAAAACAAGAATTGTATAAACTAATGCCTTAATGTAAACTTTGAAACAACTTACATTTTCACCTTTGATTCCAAGGGACGTAGATTGAGATGATAGTTTTCAATATTATTCTCCACATCCATGGCCAGCTGGTGACTGGAAACAGAAACAGTGTCTCAATATAACTCAGTTCAGAAAATTAATAAGACCTGTTCATTTTATTTATTTGAAATGACAGATACATATTCAATTTTGTTCATTTAAATTTATTAACAGAGTGCTACAGATCAGGGATGGATAAATCACCATACCATAGAAGGAAAATGGTGCTTTGTCTTTTATCTGCTGCCCTTTTGATTTCTTCCACTCAACTCATCACTCATATCTAAGGAATAAAGAGAGTAGCTTTTTCAGAAAAGAAGAAAGGATATTGGCATATCTCAGGGGTTGGGGAAAGGCAGCGTAAGAGCGCTCAGAAATGCCCTGGGATTGGACATCTGGTAAGTTGTCAAGAGCATGTTCCTCATTCTCAGTGATGCCATCTCTCCTCATTCTATAAGCTTTCTCAGAGTTCCAATATGAAGAAAGCATGACTCTATGTCCTGGAGAAAGACAAAGGGCTATCAGCATGTAGCCACTGATCCTACTGAACGTGTAAGGATAGCTCTGGATGCTGCAGCTGTTAAGGAAGACTGTGTGGAGAAGGTCGACCGGGTTCTGAAGAATGGGCAGGAATCACTTAAGCTTATAAAACATAGGGAAAAAAAAGAGTAGAGGTGAAAAATTAAAAGGTTATTTTAGACCAGGGGTGGAGAACATCCAGTCAGTGGGCTGTATGTTGTTGTTGTTAAGTGCTGTTGAGTCGACTTCAACCTACAGCGACTCTGTAATAGGATTTCCAAAGAGCTGCTAGCTGGTGAGCTTGAACCACCGACCATGCAGTTAAAACGGTTTTGCAGTCTGGTGCATTAACCCACAGTGCCACACCAGGACTGTCGAGTCGATTAGGAGTTCCTTAATTAAATGTTTGACCAAATAGAGCAGGCACAATTTTTAAATGATCATTTTCTATGGCCTGTTAATGGTGTTATAAATTTTGGCAGAATAATGTCCCGCACCAGTCCTCTGAGTTAATGCACTGGACTGCAAAATTGGTTAATGCACTGTAATGCAAAGCCGGTTTGAACGGCAAGGTCGGTGGTTCAAGCTCACCAGTCATTCCCTGACACACTATACAGGGTTGCTATGGGTGGGAATAGATTCGGAGGCACTAAACAACAAACACCACCCTGTTTTAGACAATAGGCAGCAGTTAAACTAAAATGAAGATATCAATAGGAGAATAACAGAAAACAGATTGTTCAAGTCAGAAAACGAATAGCTGGTATATGTACGAAATATTGTCATAGACACTTTGCATTTATTAACTCAATTAATTATCACAATTGTTGATGTGGTTGTTAAGTACCACTGAGTCAGTTCCGACTCATAGTGACCCTGCACTGGGTTTCCGAGGCTGCAAATCTTTACAGGAGCAGAAAGTATCATCTTTCTCCTGTGGAACAGCGGGTAGTTTTGAACTGCTGACCTTGAGGTTAGCAGCCTGATTTGTAACCACTATGCTACCAGAGCTCCTCCATCAATTAACGCCCCACACACACACATCAGCCCCCACCACTTGTCTGTCAGTTTGTGGTACTGTGATGGCTTGTGAGTTGCTGTGATTCTGAAAGCTATGCCACTAGTATTTTAAATACAAGCAGGGTCACCCATGGTGAACAGGTTTCAAATGAGCTTCCAGACAAAAACAGAATAGGAAGAAGGAGTGATGAAGTACTTCCGAGTATTTAGCCACTGAAAACCTTATGAATAGCAGAGAAATACTGCCAGATATAGTGCCGGAAAATGAGCCCCTCTGGTTGGAAGGCACTCAGAATGAGACTGGGGAAGAGCTGCCTCCTCAAAGCAGAGTTGACTGTGATGACGTGAATGGAGTAAAACCTGTGGTGGTAAAGCCCGCAGGACATTCATTTGCTGATGGGGCACAACTCAAAATGAAAAGAAACAGCTAGAAACATCCATTAACAT